AATAAAAAAGGGCATGATAACGATTATGGTAACCGGGGCCTGTGTTGAGGGCCCTGCTTGTACTGGCATCGTAGCAAACTGTAGGAAAGCCTCTTTGAAACAAGTCTTGGCTTAGGGTTTAGGGCTTAGGGTTTGCGACTGGGACTGCGCGGGATGATTACGGGAACATTGTAGGGGGTTTAGGGTTTAGGGTTTAGGGTTGAGTGCAGGGCACACAAAGCACACACATGACTCAACGCATGACCTGCGCAGCAAGCCCCCTTCCTGGACCCTGAGCCTTGTTTTCTGAAGCCTTGTTCCTGACAATTACTATTTCCCCAAACCCAAGTACTCAATTATTGGGTACTTGGCCAAGTACCTAATTATTGGGTACTTGGACCCTCTGAGTTCCCTTATTCCGTATACTCACCAGCAAGTTCACGGTTCAGGGATTGGGTTTCATGGGGTGCATCCAGCACTCCTGGTTTAGGGTTAGGGGTTTAGGGTTAACCCAACTCCTGAACCTAAAAACCCTCAGCCCCCAAAACCAGCAGCGCTGGAACCTGATCCTTGCACCCCATCAAACCCAATCCCTGATGCATGAACTTACTTCTGATCACTAGGGGCTAAGGGTTTAGGGTTTAGGGCTAAGGGAATATAGTCCCAATATCATGTAATTTAAGTATTCCCTACTAAGCTCCAGCAAGTAAACCCTGTATCTGAAATGCCTGACAACCCAAGAAAGGCACCTCTTGCCGGCATCGCGCTCTGCCCTTTGCAGGTCTGGAATTCCTTGTCTATCAGACCCCCCCAACTACCATAGGCTTCTCTAAATGGGAGCCCTCATCCCTAAATCCACGGTAGCTTTCACAAAATGGGAGCTGCAAGTGACTCTAGATGCAGGCGGAGGTCTAGGGGTCCGTATTGAGGGCGATATGCTGGTTTTTTTCGAGAAATAATATAAACCCTACAATCCCTACCTATTCATCCCTATAATTCCTGTAGTTTCCATGTTCTTTTCCATGATTTCTTTATAACCCCAATATAACCCTAATAGTCTAAATATCAGTGGCTGCTATTCTGTGGTCACGCTAACGAGAGGGAATCAAGGCGTGAGCTCGGATTTTGGAGTCGAGAACGAATCAGAGCTCTCATTATAGCTCGTGGTCTAAACTCCTAGTATCCGCCCTGAATAACCCCTATAGTAGTCTCCTATATAGTTCCCTATATAACCACCCCTTTAAGGAGTTTAGACTGTAGCTCATATGTAGAGATTACGTGGAGGGTCAGTGGGACTTAGTAACTAGATTACGGATGGAGATAACTAGGGTTACTGTAAGGGTTAGAGGGGTATTACACACTTCCTAAGTCACCATGATCCCAGTAGGGCCCCTCGGTAGGGCTTTCATTTCTAGAGATTAACGTCGACTTGGCGGCGGTTTGAAGCAACTTAGCAAGAGAGTGTGGCATGATCAAGCCATAGAAGTTTTCATAAGTAAGAGAATCCCCTGTGTAGACCTCAACGTGCTATAGTCTATCCCCATAGTCCATAATCCATATTATTGGGAGCCCTGGACAAGTACCCATAATTTTCGGAACCATGGAAGCAACCGCGTCTGGGCGCTGCAAAGCAGCCATGAGGGGTTCAGACCGAGACTCACACACCAAAGCATTAATACTACAGGTACTGTAGACACCTTAATAGGGATTGGAACAGGGATCCTAGCCTAAACCCTAAACACCTGATGAGCAGGATCCTAAAAGGAGGGGGTTTAGTAATCACCGGTCTACATTACGGTTTTGGGAGGGGCTTCTTGGAGGGTCAAAGGGCCTTGGTAAGTAGGTTCAAAACCCTCACAACTAGGGTTACTATATGGCGGTACAGGGGCTCTTCACCACTGACTAAGCCCCCCTGCTCCTCCAAGTAGAGGAACTCTTCTGAATCTTGATGGAAACTTGATTGGAACATGCGCCAAACACAAATAGGTCATCGACTCGTACAGAAGCCTCTGCTGGGGCATGCTCCACTCAGAGGAGTCTTCAAAAATCGTAGGGCAGTTTCCCAAAATAGGGAAACCTCAACATAGACCCCCATATACTATTACCCTTATTATTTCCGGACCTCAGAATGGTATTTTCTCGGGGATCCCCACTGAATATCCTGCCGTGACATGAGGTTTAAGGTTTGGGGCTTGGGGTTCAGGGACGATCAAATGGTCCTGAATGACTAGGATGACGATAATCTTCCAGGGTGCCCTTGTGAAATTCCCGATCCAAGGAGGTATATGGAGCCTCTCAAAATTTTTACGCCGCGTGACATCCTCGAAAGGGATACTGGCGAGGTCTTTAAACTCATTGACCCTCTACTGTTGCTCACGTTCATTGAAGAACTCCTAAATGAGCTATGGTCTAAACTCCTAAGGATTTTAGACCCTAAACCCTAAACTCTCATCCCTACACCCTAAATCCTATGCACACTGTATAATCCTTTATATATCCTTCCCTTTACTTTACGGAATTTAGACCCTAAACCCTAAATCCTAAACCCTAAACCCTAAGCCCTAAGCCCTAAACCCTAAACCCCAAACCCCTAAACCCTAAACGGCTCAAATGATGCCCAAGGCTCTCAGCAAGTGAAGCACCGGCCTGGGCGCTCGCGAGGCGAAGTTGTCTGCCAGATCCTCGTCCGTTGAGTCCTGTTTGGGGTTTAGGGTTT